TCACTTAATAAACACACACACACACACACACACACACACACACACACACACACACACACACACACACATTGGAATTCCTGGGCTCCAGGCTAAGTGACAGGTAGAATTACTTGCATAGTCATAACCCAGGAATTCCAAGTCTAAATGCCGATTTCTCCCATGTACTTCTGTGAAGGACCAGGAGAAACTTGCCACCTCCTACACTCCCAGCTTGACCGATCCTTTTCTTTAAAATGAGAGGGAAAAATAATGAATAAATGAATGCTACTATCACTATCTGCTCCTCATGCTGACCGGCCAGTCATTCACAAATCATTTACTGATCCCATGATGGATTTGCACCATTGAGCAACAGCCATTGTCAGTTCTTGCCAAGACCTTTATTCAAGAAAATAGTACGGAGTTGAGCATTCTATCTAATGGGTGATTGCATATTTTATCCACTCTAATGAGCTCCCCTGCCCCTCCCACCACGTGTGTGCTCACTCCTGCTTGAATAGAGGTCAGAGGTCAATGAGCTGTGCCTTCCTTAATTACTCTCCACCTGATTTTTTGAGGCAGCGTTTCTCACTGAACCTGGAGTTCTTCCTTTAGGCTAGACTGGGCAGCCAGTAATCCTCTGGTGATTCTCATCTCTGATACCCTAGCAACGGGGTTATGGACACACATTACCTCCATGGCTTGTGTGTGTGTGTGTGTGTGTGTGTGTGTGTGTGTGTGTGTGTGTGATTCCAACTCATATCCTCATGCTCATTCAGGAAGCACTTAATCACATAGCCATCTCCTTTGTGAAAAATGATTATAAAAAACCTTGAATTTATTTATGTGCAGCCCCTACCTGCCCTGGAACTTACTATGTAGACCAGCCTGGCCACCAACTCATATGCATTTGCATCCTGAGTGATGAGATTAAAGGATTTTGCTACTACATCCAATGACAAGTGAATTTCATAAGGCATCTATGGAACAAATTGTCAGATAAATTTTGAAAAGAGACTATAAAGAAGCAGTTGGTTTGAATGCATTAATAATAGACCCAAAGTACTCAAAATGTGTCAGGGTCACATTAAGAAGCATTTTCCACGAATATTTAACTAAGAGCACAGGCCCAGATTTGAACCTTTCCCTGTGTCTTACATCATTCTCTGTCTGTTTGTTGTGAGAGTCTGAATCAGTGCCTGCCTGACTGATGACTTGTGCATCTCTGTGTCCCTGTCTCTGTGTGTGTCTGTGTGTCTTACAAAAGACTCTGTTCTGCATTTATTGAACAGCACGGAAGCTTCACCTGGAGGAAGGAATGAGGGATGCTTTACAGAAATGTTTAAAAGAGCTTTACAAGAGATTAAGTTACCGACTCCAGTGGCCCTCAACTGACCCAGAGAACAGTGCTGCAAACATCACTACACACAGATCTATCAGCCTACAATCATGCGCCTTTCAACATTTACGGTAGATATCTGCCTTATAAGGTTGCATTCAAACTACTTGCTCTTTGCGGCATTTAATGCCATAACATACACCCACACCTGCATGACTCTAGATCAGGGGGATGGAAGACTACATATTCTAAGATGAAAGCTATGCATTAGCTTAGGTTTTAAAAGCTGATTACATGAGAAATCCAAGGTAAGTACAGTTGGTTGTCACATTGTTCTCTTAAAGGCAGGTTTAAAAAAGAGACTGAGCACACAGTAGGATAGCAGTCTTACATCTTAATGAACTCAAGGTGCATTAACTCTGGCTGTGGGATCCAGCAAAACTTCCAGTCTCTTAGAATGTAAGTGATATTTTCATAATGATGCATCAGCACAGTAGAGCGAACTTTCAACTTTACCCTTTGCCCTCAGTCTCTGCTCTCTAGAATGCAATGGCTGTCTGGTTATCCTACGTGAACTCTCAGCTTCTGATATCACAGGAGAGAAGAGTGACTTTACACTTCTAAATTGCCCCTCTGCGTTGCTCACTACTCATTTAAAAGTTTTTCTTGCTTATTAATGCGAACAAGTGTTTTTCAGAGGTGATATCAACTCCCTCAGCATAACTGTCACTGTTCCTTCTTGTGACATGATCCTGTCATTCTCTTGGGGGATGAGCTCAGAGAACATTCAGCCTTCATCTTGGGGGTTGCTGTCAACTTTGGAGCCATATTACGGTTGTAGGCCTGATTAGCCAGTGAGTCCCCATGCAGCAGCCAGCACCACAGATGCATCCTACCTGCATACGTGAGGTGGTCTCTTTCAGACACCCAGTCTGCAGGGGACAGGGCAGTCTCTGGAAGGTGGATGAGAGCACTGCACTTCTGAACTGATCTCCTCTTTCAGGAAACAGCTGCTGCACAGGATGAATGCTCATAGGGGCAGGATCCACCCAAGACCTGAACCCAAAGTGGTTTGACAGAGGCTGCAGGTGAGACAATAACCTGGATTCCTACTTTTTGTGTTCTTTTCCAAGAGAGTGACAGTGTATTTGTTCCCAGTAATGTGAGGGTCCCGGTGACTAAAACAGTTTATGATTGTTTCTCAGAGTTCACCTGCACTTGGTTTTCTTTTGGGAATCCTAGACACTGGTCACTGGGCTGGTAAAATATCTCCTAAATTTAGTTAGTTACAAGAGCAATTTGAGAGGTGTTTGATGGCCTCTGCATATTTACACCTCAAATTCTGCTGTCCACGGGGGCTTTATATGAATGCAGAATATTTTTTCCCTTTTTGGAAATGGGTGTATAGAGGGGCATAGTGAGAAGTTAATATTCTTTTTTTTTTTTTTTTTTTTTTTTTCAATCTTAAAATTTATTTATTTTTTTTTCCCCTTTTCTATTTTAATAAAAAGGAAAAAAAAGAAAAAGGTTATAACTAACAAAAGAAAAGTTATATACAAAAGTACAATGACTATATACAATATATACAAGTAATAAATGTCTAAACAATGTCTAGTCCATTTGTATTTGACAAATTCAGAGAAAATAATTTCATTATCTATCCTATTTTGTTAAGTCCAAAATGTATCTAATTCACTTTCTATCCTAATTAATCTTCAACTATAACTAGAGAAGTTAATATTCTTGTAGAGGGCTTCTTGTTTTGGGTTGTGAAAAGAGGAGCAACAGCAAACTGATGTTTTAATATCCAAATTTCAAGTCTGTGGGCATTTGAGTAACTGAGTTCAATCTCATGTCACCCAGATCTGAGACCCCTACTATTCCAACTTCCACCAGACACAGATGTCCGTGTCACCCAGAGCTTACTTTTTATTTGTTTGGTTTTGAGACAGGGTCTCTTTACATAGTCCTGGCTGTTCTGGAGCTTGTTATGTAGACCAGGCCAGCCTCACACCCACAGGGATCCTCCTGACACTGCCTGAAATTTTTTGGAATTAAAGGCATGTGTCACCATTCCCAATACATATACTGCATTTGAATCATACAGTTATGTCAATTATTATTGGGCTATATGTTAGGGACTCATTGCATCTTTGACTGACAGTATTCTAAAATCTGTCAATTTTTCTAACATTTATCGTTATAATAGTGAAATTTTATATCCCATAGTGAAAAATAGATGCTACTATAGTTCATTATTTTCATGTTGCATTTACTGTACTTTAATTTCCTTACAAGGTTAGGAATCTCACTAGCGATCCTCCTAATGAATAAATGCATTCATTGGATGCTGTTTTAAACACATTCACAAGTTTCTTCCTCTTTCCCATTATGTATTATAGAGTAATATTTTATACTCTATACTCTTTTATACAATAAATTAAAAGATTAGAAAGTAATTTTGAAAACACTTAAAGGCAAAAACAAGCACATACATGTACACACAGACATGCAAATTCAATTACAAGTGAGTGTACAGAGAATTCAAATGTTTTCTTACCTGGTATCTGAGGGTCACTAGTCTCTTTTCTTGTTTTTTTTTTTTATTACTCTCTATTGTTCATTCTCCAATTTGATTGCTTTTTTATTATTCTCTATGATGTTTTCTCATTTTTCAACTTTGGAGAAGCTTGTGTAATTTATGATCATTTTCATATTTCCCCCGTTAGGATCCTGCTCTCACTCTTCCGGGTCTGGCGCCTTACATCATCAGCAGGCGCTGGCGACTACATACCCCCTGCATGGTCACGCAATCTGAGCCTATTAAAGCTGGACGCGGACCCCCACCCTCTCTTTCTGTGTTCTCTCTCTGCTCCCGCTGTCTTTCTTTCTCTCCAGGCCTGACTCCCCTCCTCTCCCCTCCTTCTTTCTAATAAAGCTCTTTCTAACTCTGGTAGTCATGGCCGTGGACTGTGACTTTTCTGGCGGTAACCAGTGCCACCCACCAGCACTATTTTACCATCACCACCACTTCTCCCAATTTTACCATCTTCCTCTGCCTACCTACCTTTGTGTCTTTTAGAGTTTTTAACCCGTAAAGCACAGGTTGTGCTGCCCTGTGCTCTTGGGTGTATGACCACCGACTGGAGCATGGCTGATTTATCAGGGCCACATTGTAAAGGAAGCTGACTACCATTTTCATAGTAGCTATCAGTTGTGAATAATACCTTCCTTAGGGATTACTATTTTGTCTGGAGATGAATAGTTTCCTTTCTTACAAGTCTCTGCCTTTTCGCTGCCGGGTATAGGAAATCTGAGGTGTGTCTGCATCCAGGACACTCATCTGAATGCAGGCTGATCATTAGACCCTCTCTCAACAACACTGTTGACTTGAAACCAACAAATAATTGTAAAGCACTTGAAAATGCTAACATCTATTCATGGCAATATAATGTTTAATTTTTTCCCACAATTTCCTAGCTAATTATCTGCAATTCAAACACAATAAGAATTCATTGAAACCGAGTAAACTTCTTACTAGAAAGACACATTTTAACATTACTTATGAACATAAGGTGATAGTGACTATGCAGTACATTGTTTGACATGCTAAGAAGATATTCCAACTTGTGTAACAAGTGCTTTCTGGATCTGTTGTGCAGGTACCCAGGACCATGACAGAATGACCTCCAGACACCTGGCTGTGGGGATCTTCTTCCTGTCTCAGACTGCACTGGGAATGCTGGGGAACTCAGCCTTGCTTTGTTGTTTTATCATTGCTGACTTCTCTGGAATCAGGGCGAAGCCCACAGACCTAATTGTCAAACACCTGACCTGGGCCAACTTCATAGTTCTCTGCAGAGGAATCCCACACACCATTGCTGCTTTTAGTCAGACTTACTATCTCGATTATGTTTCATGTAAACTTGTCTTATATTTTCATAGAGTTGGCAGAGGAGTATCCCTTGTCTCTACATCCCTTCTGAGTGTCTTTCAGGCCATCACCATCAGTCCCAGTAATTCTAAGTGGGCACAGCTGAAGATCAGAGCCCCCAGTATCATTGGTCCTTCCCTAGGCCTGTGCTGGGCCCTCCAGCTGTTGATATACGCCTTTATTCCAGTGTATATAACTGACATAAGGAGTGGGAGAAATGTTACTGGGATAAAGTTTTTTGAATACTATGCTGTTGTGAATCCTGGGAGACAAATTGACACACTTAATGCAATCCTATTGACATCCAATGATGTCATGTTTTTGGGACTGATGATGTGTGCCAGTGGCTACATGGTGTTTATCTTGCTCAAACACAAGCAGAGGGTCCAACACATCCACAGATGTCTGGCTGCTATGTCATCCCCTGAGACCAGAGCCACTCAAAGCATCCTAACCCTAGTGAGCAGCTTTGTGTTCTTCTACGCAACCTCTATTGTCATTACATCTTACCTGTCTGTCCTTGAGGGAACCAGTTCGTGGGTGTTTAATGCAGGTGTAGCCATGGCTGCTTGCTTCCCAGCATTCTGCCCCTTTCTGCTCATTAGACACCACACCTCCATTTTCAGGCTCTGCTGTCCCAGTTCTTACCAGACAACATTCTGTGCTTGTGTTATCAGGGAACTCTAAAAGCTGTGTTGTCTGCATCTCCCTTTCCATGTCTCAGGGGTTGGAAGACTGTTCATTCAGAGGACCTGGGTTTAATTCCCAGCACCCACATGGCAATACAGAACTGTCACAACCACAGTTCCAGGCAAACTGTTCAGCTAGATGTGCTGGCCAGCAAGAGTCAGTTAACTCTTCTGCCTCTGCCTCTTCAGTGCTAACATGATAGGCACAGTTATCTGGATGTTTAAAGTTTTCAGTTTTATTTCATGAGTTCTCAACCCACATATACTTTCTGATATTCACCACCCATGATTCTTAATTATAACCCCACACCCGACTCCTTCTTCACTCCAACCAATCTGTGTTCTACCTTCATGTCTTTTTAAATGCCCCATAGAATTTAATTAAAGCTTATTTCATGAGCATTGGTGGATGATTATTTACTTGTATAACTGCTGTTTACTGGTGCCCACATCATTGAGGCATATGATTCCCTTCCTCCAACAAGCAGGAAGTGTCTTCAGCTCCCCTGATATGGCTGGGATCTTATGAGTCACACCTCCATCCATGATGGAATGCTGTTAAGGATTGTCTTATGCAGGTAACTAGGGCTGCTCTATGTGTATGGATGCATGAAATTTCCAAGACAAAGCAGTCCACTGAAGAGTACCCTTCTTTTTTTAAATTTATTTTTATTTTATTTTATTTAAGTTTTATTTTATTTTTCCGGAGCTGAGGACTGAATCTAGGGCTTTGCGCTTGCTAGGCAAGCACTCTACCACTGAGCTAAATCCTCAACCTTTTTAACTATTTTTTTTGTTTTTTTTTGAGACAGGGTTTCTCTGTGTAGCTTTGTGCCTTTTCTGGAACTCACTCTGTAGCCCAGGCTGGCCTCGAACTCACACAGATACGCCTGGCTCTGCCTCTCGAGTGCTGGGATTAAAGGTGTGTGCCACCACTGTCTGTTGAGTATCCTTCTTTATCTTAAACTTTTCCCCTTTTTTTAATTAAGAAAATTTTTTCATTCATTTTACATACCAATCAAAGATCCCCCTATTCTCTCCTCCCACCCCCAAACTCCCCCTCCACCCCTTCCTACCCACAAGAAGGCAAGTCCACCCATTGGGAGTCACATGCAGTTGAGGCAAGTTCAATCCCTTCGCCCTGCCTCAAGGATGCAAAAGGTGTCCTATCATAGGTAGTGGGCTCCAAAAAGCCCGCTCATGCATCAGGGATGGATTCTGATTCTACTGTCAGAAGGTCTCCCAAGCAGATCAAGCTACACAGCTATCTCGTCATGCAGAGGGCCTAGTCCATTCCCATGTAGGCTCCACAGCCATTGATCCAACTTTCATGAGTTCCTTCTAGTTTGGTTTGGTCATCCCTGCATGTTTCCCCATCATGATACTGATGCAGTTGCTTATGGAATCCCTCTTCTCTCTCATCAACTGGACTCCTGGAGCTGTGCATGGTGATTTGCTGTGGATCTTTTCATCTGCTTCCATCAGTCATTGGAGGAAAGCTCTGTGATGACAGTTAGGGTATTCACTGGTCTAATCTCTGAGGCAGGCAAGTTCAGTTCAGGCACCTTCTCCTCTATTGCTAGTAGTCCAAGCTGGGATCATCCTTGGGGATTCCTGGCAACTTCCCTACCACCAGGTTTCTCTCTATCCCCATGATCTCTCTCTCTCTCTCTCTATCATGGTATCACTTTCATTGCATTCCCCATCCCTCTCTGCTCCAGCTCAACCATCTCATTCTCTTATGTTCTCATGCCCTATCCCCTACCTCCATTGCCCACCCCTTATCCCCAGTTTACTCATGAAGATCTCATCTATTTCCCTTTCCCAGGGTGGGCCATGCATCCATCTTTGGGTCTTCCCTGTTAGTTAGCTTCTCTGGAGTTGTGGGTTGTTGCCGGATTACCCTTTGCCTTATATCTAGTATTCACTTATGAGTGGGTCCATATCATGTTTGTCCTTCTGAGTCTGGGTTACCTCACTCAAGATGATATTTTCTAGTTCCATCCATTTGCCTGCAAATTTTATGTCATTTTTTTCTCTGCTGAGTAGTACTCATTTGTGTATATGTGCCACATTTTCTTTATCCATTCTTGAGGAGCATCTAGGTTGTTTCTAGGTTCTGGTTATTATGAATAATGCTGATATGAACATAGTTGAACATGTGTCCTTGTGGTAAGATTGAGCATTCCTTGGGTATATGCCCAAGAGTAGTATAGCTGGGTCTTGAGGTAGATTGATTCCCAATTTTCAGAGAAACTGCTATATTGATTTCCAAAGTGGATGTACCAGTTTGCACTTCCACTAACAGTGGAGGAATGCTCCCCTTTCTCCACATCCTCTCCAACATAAGCTGTCTGCAGTCCTTTTGATCTTAGCCATTCTGACAGGTGTAAGATGGTATCAGAGTTTTGTTTTGACTTGCATTTCCCTGATGATTAAAGATGCTGAGCAATTCCTTAAATGTCTTTCAGCCATTTGAAATTTTTCCTTTGAGATTTCTAGGTTTAGCTCTGTAGCCCATTTTTAAATTGGATTGTTTACTGTTTTGATGTCTAGTATTTTGAGTTTTTTTAAATGTATTTTGGAGATCAGCCCTCTGTCAGATGTGGGGTTGGTGAAAATCTTTTTGCATTCTGTAGGCTGTCGTTTTGTCTTATTTACTGTGTCCTTTTTCTTACAGAAGCTTCTCATTTTCAGTAGGCCCCATTTATTAATTGTTGTTTTCATTGTCTGTGCTACTGGTGTTATATTTAAGAAGTGGTTTCCTGCATTCATGACTATTTCCGACTTACTCTTCAATCAGGTTCAGTGTAACTGGCTTTATATTGAGGTCTTTGATTCACTTGGACTTGAGTTTTGTGCATGGGTATAGATATGGATCTATTTGCCATCCTCTACATGTTGTCATCCAGTTATGCCAGCACCATTTGTTGAAGATGTTTTCTTTTTCCATTGTACACTTATAGTTTCTTTGTCAAAAATCAGGTGTTTATAGGTGTGTGTTGATGTCAGGGTCTTCAGTTTGATTCCATTGATCCACATGTAGGTTTTTAGGCCAGTACCAAGCTGTTTTTATTACTATAGCTCTATAGTAGAGCTTTATGTCAGGAATAGTGATATCTCCAGAGGTGGCTTTGTTGTACAGGATTCTTTTAGCTATTATGTGATTTTTATTTTTCTAAATGCATTTGAACATTGTTCTTTCCAGGCCTGTGAAGAATTGTGTTGGGATTTTAATGGGGATTACATTGAATCTGTAGATTGCCATTTTTACTATGTTAATCCTACCTATCCATGAGCATAGGAGATATTTCCATTTTGTGATATCTTCTTTGATTTCTTTCTTCAGAGACTTAAAGTTGTTATCATACAGGTCTTTCACTTGCTTAGTTAGAGTTACTCCAAGTTATTTCATATTATTTGTGGCTATTGTAAAGAGTGATGTTTCTCTAATTTTCTTCTCAGCCTTTTTATCGTTTGTATATAGGAGGGTTACTGATTTTTTTTAGTTAATCTTGTATGCTGCCACATTGCTGAAGGTGTTTGTCAGCTGCAGAACTTCCCTGGTAGAATTTTTTGGGTCACTTATGTACCCTATCATATCATTTGCAAATAGTGATAGTTTGACTTCTTCATTTCCAATTTGTATCCCCTTGATCTCCTTAGGTTGTCTTATTGCTCTAGCTAGAACTTTGAGTCCTATATTGAATAAATATGGGGAGAGTTGTCAGCCTTGTCTTGTTCCTGATTTTAGTGGTATTGCTTTGTGGTTTTCTCCATTTAATTTGATGTTGGCTGTTGGCTTGCTGTAAATTGCCTTTCTTATGTTTAGATATGTTCCTTGTATTCCTGATCTCTCCAAGACCTTTACAATGAAGGGGTGTTGGATTTTGTCATAGGCATTTTCTGCATCTAATGAAATGATCATGTGGTTTTTGTCTTTTAATTTGTTTATATGGTGTATTACATTGGCAGATTTTAGTGTGTTGAACCATTCTTGCATCCTTGGGATGAAGGCTACTTGATCATGGTAGATAATTGTTTTGATGTTTTCTTGGAGTCTGTTTGCCAATATTTTATTGAGTATTTTTGCATCAATATTGATGAGGGAGATTGGTCTGTAATTCTCTTTCTGTATTGCATCTTTGTGTGGTTTGGGAATCAGAAAACTGGAGCCTCATAAAAAGAGTTTGGTAATATTCCTTTTGTTTCTATTTTGTGGAACAATTTGAAGAGTATTGGTATTAGCTCTTCTTTAAAATCTGATAGAATTCTGTGTTGAAACCATCTGATCCTCTGCCTTTTGTGGTTGGGAGACTTTTAATGACTGTTTCTATTTCCTTAGGGGTTATTGGTTTATTTAAATTGTTTATCTGGTCTTGATTTAACTTTGACATGTGGTAACTATACAGAAAATTATCCATTTCATTCAGATTTTCCAATTTTGTGGAGTAGAGGTTTTTGAAGTATGACCTGATGATTCCCTGGATTTCCTGATTGTCACTTGTTATATCTCCCTTTTCATTTCTGATTTTGTTAATTTGGATGCTCTCTCTCTGCCTTTTAGTTAATTTGGATAAGGGCTTCTCTGTCTTGTTGATGTTATTAAAGAACCAACTCTTTGTTTCATTGATTCTTTGTATTGTTCTCTTTGTTTCTATTTTATTGATTTCAGCTCTCACTTTGATAATTTCCTGGTGTCTATTCATCCAGGGAGACTTTGCTTCTTCTTATTCTAGAGCTTTCAGGTGTGCTGTTAAGTCACTAGTGTGAGATTTCTCCAACTTCTTTGTGTGGGCATTTAGTGCTATGAATTTCCCTCTTAGCACTGCTTTCATAGTGTCCCATAAGTTTGTGTATGTGGTGTCTTGATTTCGTTGATCTCTAGGAAGTCTTTAATTTCATTCTTTATTTCTTCCTTAACCCATTGGTGATTCAGTTGAGCATTATTCAGTTTCCACGAGATTGTAGGTTTTCTGTAGTTTTTGTTGTTGTTGTTGAAATCTAACTTTAAACCATGGTGGTCTGATAGAACACAGGAGGTTATTCCAATTGTTTTGTATCTGTT